CAGGAGCCGGTGCATCACCAGGCTCTGCTCCATCCTTTCGCCAGCCATCCCTCGTGTCTGGGAGCTGCGCTGCCCCGTTCCCATGTGTGGCACCATCTGCCCCTGTGCTGGGCACAGGATGGGTGCCGAGGTGCTGCCTGGACCAGCTCCTCCCCTCTTTTATGAGTGAGATCACACCGATTGCTGCTGCTGAATCCTTTGTGCACGTACCAACACACCTACCCCTGCCTGCAGCACATCTGGCCTGCAAGGGGGCCAGCTCGGTGCTCGAGGGTCCACATTCCAGCACAGGGCTGGTTCCCGCACACCTCCCACCCACCACAAAGGCTGGTGCTGCCAAAACACCCAGAGCCCACGCAGCCTCTGAAATAAAGGCTGACTTTTCCCCTCGAGCTGGCTCCATCCGGCATGGCACATGGTGGGAGAGAGCAACACAAGAGGGATGTGAACCATGGACAGGGGAGGAAGGCAGGAATCGGGTCTCATGGTGTCCCCGAATGCCTGGGATTTATTCTCTGCTCTGACAGGGGATGGTTAGGGGGAAAAGGAGGAGATTATTCCTAAAATCTCGTTTTCAATGGGATTTCATCATCTCCTGCCACGTGTCGCAGCTGCCACACAATTTCCCTGCAAACCACCTGTTTCCAGGGCACTTCCAATCCACTCACCCTTTTGGGCAGCATCTTCCAGCCTTGGACTCCATCCAGGCGTGAGCGTGGTGCGTGTGCGGGCGCGCGTGTGTGTGCGCTGAGCTGGATCCCTCCAGGCATTGCAATGGAATTAAGGGATTCACATGGAAGAAGAGAGTAATGGCTGTGCATATGCAGGAGATCAGGGAGCGTGTCTGTCCACGGGGGTGTGTGCATCCTTCTCAAAGGCACACGTGCAGTCTGGGCACCCCACCTGCCCCCTGGTCCATCTCCCTCCCACCTTTCACCTTCTCAGTGGGTGAGAGCAAAGTCCCTCCCTGCCACCTGCATCCTCCTCTCCCTGCAGCATCAGCTCAGCAGGTCTTTCTCCCGGGAAACCCATCTCCTGGGGTACCCTGGGGACCAGCGGAGATGAGCTGTGTGGAGCAGATGGCCCCTACCCACCGATCAAGCAGAAACCACCCTGGGAATGGTCCCGGTGCAGCAGCTGAGGCTGGAGATGCTGCGTTGCCATGGGAAGGTCGGGATGTGCAGGGTGCTCACCCGAGGGAGCAAATGTGCAGCTCTGATCTTTACCCACGGCCTGCAATGTCCCCCGGGCCAGACACCAGCCTGGGTTCGGGGGGATTTGTGCCTGTCCCCAGCACAGCACAGGGCTGCCCAAGCCCCCCCCGCAGCACATGCTGCCTGCAGCCACCCCTGCAGGAGCCATGCAGGAAGCTCTGGCAGCTGTAGCCCAGCGCTCCTGCGCTTAGCACAAGCTCATCACCCTCCTCCCCTCCCCTCTGACTCCACAGATTAAGGGCCGAAGCCCTGTGGTGCTGGTGCTGCAGGCAGGGTTCAGCTGGGGGCAGGATCCTGCTGGCCCCCTCCCGGCCCTGCCAGCAGGATGTGCGCCAAACCCTGCCTGGGCTGGTAATCCCGGGCACAGGCAGAAGGGAGCCGGGAGCAGAGCTCAGCATACGGGTGGCTGGTTAGCGGACCCAGCGGCTTTGGGAGCAAACCAGGTTCCCAGCGAGGGGACGCAGGCGCCCCATCTCACCGCTGCTCTCTGCAGCCCCACATGTGCACATGGTACAACAGCCACCGTGTGCCCGGCGTGGGGCTGGGGAAAGCATCACTCACCTGCAGAGGCAGATAGAGCCGGGTGGATGGCACAGCGGGGTCCCACTGCAGTCTGACCATCCGTGTCTCTTCCTTCTCCAGCTGAATATCCTGGTGGACACAGGGAGCAGTAACTTCGCTGTGGGAGCTGCACCTCACCCCTTCCTCCGGAGATACTACCAGCGGCAGCTGTGAGTATGCTGGAGGGACACAGAGAGCGCAGTGATGCAGCCCTGGCCTTGTGCCGTCCCTTCTTGGACAGCATGGGTCCACACAGCCCCTTCTGGGGCTCTCCACACAGCTCTTTGATGCCGTTGCAGGTCCAGCACCTACCGCGACCTGCGGAAGGGTGTGTATGTGCCCTACACCCAGGGCAAGTGGGAAGGGGAGCTGGGCACCGACCTTGTCACCATTCCCCATGGCCCCAACGTCACCGTCAGAGCCAACATCGCTGCCATCACCGAGTCGGACAAGTTCTTCATCAACGGCTCCAACTGGGAAGGGATCCTGGGGCTGGCGTACGCCGAGATCGCCCGGGTGAGTCCTGCTCTGCTCGGCGCCCAGGGGCCCAGCTTGCAGCTGAGGTGGTGACCTTGAGCCATGCTCCAACAGAGCCTGGGGGCACAGCAGTCCCAGCAATGGGAGCTCCTCCAGGCATGGAGAGCCCCTGGAGGAGATACAGCACTGACATTCCTCTCCTGCCTCTGCATTCTCCTCCCACCAGCCCGACGACAGCCTGGAGCCCTTCTTTGACTCCCTGGTGAAGCAGACCCGGGTGCCCAACATCTTCTCCCTCCAGCTCTGCGGGGCAGGATTCTCCCCCAACGAGACGGAGGCGCTGGCATCGGTGGGAGGCAGCATGGTGAGTGCGCTGCTGTAGGAGCACCAGGAAGGCTGGTGGCTGCCCACGTGGGATGTGGGCCATCAGAGCTGGCAGGACACCATGGCATCATCCCCTTTCTGTCCCCGCTGCAGATCATCGGTGGCATCGACCGCTCGCTGTATGTGGGTGACATCTGGTACACACCCATTCGGAAGGAGTGGTACTACGAGGTCATCATCGTCAAGCTGGAGGTCAACGGGCAGGACCTGAACATGGACTGCAAAGAGGTGAGGGGACAGCAGGGGCACTGCTTTGTCACTGCCACTGGTGGCATCCGCCTTCCTGCTAAGGGGCTTTGGGAAGGGAGTGGGACTGGGGTCTGCACCTTGGTTACTCCTCTTCTACCCCCAGTACAACTATGACAAGAGTATCGTGGACAGCGGGACCACCAACCTCAGGCTGCCAAAGAAGGTGTTTGAGGCTGCGGTGAAATCCATCAAAACAGCTTCTTCGGTCAGTGAAACCCATCCCTCCCTCCCCTGTGGGCACAGAGATGGCTCTGCTCACCCCTCTCCCCTCTGGCAGACGGAGAAGTTCCCGGATGGCTTCTGGCTGGGGGAGCAGCTGGTTTGCTGGCAGGTTGGCACCACCCCCTGGCACATCTTCCCAGTCCTATCCCTCTACCTGATGGGGGAGGCCACCAACCAGTCCTTCCGGATCACCATCCTGCCCCAGGTGAGCACTGACCCTGCCTGGTGCCGCTGCTGGGTGGGCACAGCTGCCTCCCCCATCCCCGTTCCCAATGGCACCTCTTCCTGCAGCAATACCTGCGTCCGGTGGAGGACGTGGCCACCTCTCAGGACGACTGCTACAAGTTCGCCATCTCCCAGTCCTCCACGGGCACCGTCATGGGCGCCGTGATCATGGAGGGCTTCTACGTGGTCTTCGACCGTGCCCGCAAGCGCATCGGCTTTGCTGTCAGCGCCTGCCACGGTGAGGGCTGGGTCTGCAGGGAGGGAGAGGCAGAGGGGACGTGGACGTGCAGTGACCATGGCCCTACCTTCTCCCCCCTCAGTGCACGACGAGTTCCGGACGGCCGGGCACCGTCATGGGCGCCGTGATCATGGAGGGCTTCTACGTGGTCTTCGACCGTGCCCGCAAGCGCATCGGCTTTGCTGTCAGCGCCTGCCACGGTGAGGGCTGGGTCTGCAGGGAGGGAGAGGCAGAGGGGACGTGGACGTGCAGTGACCATGGCCCTACCTTCTCCCCCCTCAGTGCACGACGAGTTCCGGACGGCCGCGGTGGAGGGGCCCTACCTGCACTCCAACA